AACTGAAGCTGTGAACAATCTCAATCTCTTCGCCATCCATCCTGATGCTACCGATTGGTCCAGTGGTGAGAATTTTTGTCTTCTTGACATTGAGCCTCACAGGAGAATAAATAAGCACTAATGGCTTATGGGAGCTCCGAGGCTTAGTGGTAAGGAATTGTGCTGCCAACACAAAGGTACATGGTTCGATTTCCCCAGCTTCACCAGATACTCTGTGGGAGAAAGATGGGCAATCTACTCCCATGCAATTTACTGCCACTGAGAACCCACTGGAGGGTCGGCTATGGGTTGGTTCCAACTCAATGGTATATAACAACAACAACAACAACAACAATGGCTTATCAGGGAGCTCTGATGGCTTAATGGCAAGGAATTGTGCAGCCAAGGTGAAGGTATGCTGTTCAAATCCATCAACTGTTCCACAAGAAGATGGGCAATCTCCTGTCATGCAATTTACTGCTTCTGAAAACTCACTGGTGCCTCAGCTCCGACTCGACAGTACTCAACAACAACAAAGATATGAGGTTCAAATCCACCCGCTGCTCTGCGGGAGAAAGATGAGCAAGGTCCTTACGCACCAAACACCTGCAGAAGGGTTCACCATGAGTCAGTGCCGAGGGAGGGTACATAACAACCACCACCACCACAGCTTATCAACATTGTGAACTGTCACCTCCTCTCACTCACCATTAAAATGCAAACTAAGATACCAGTGACTATTATTTCTTGCCAATTAGATGACAACTATTGAGAAATTTGAGAATGCACAAAATCAAGGAGAACAAGAGGAAATGGCAGACCTGCTGAAGAGTGAGCATGAATAGTTTCATTCACTCCGCTGGGCTGACTTCTACAAACTTACTGAAGTGGGGGAAACCCAGGGAATACCCAGCAATGATCTCCTGAATGGTACAGATGAGCTGAGTGGAGCAGGGGAGGACAAACATGTTCCAGCACCATGTCAAAGTCAGGTCAATCATATGTAGGTCCCATAGCTGGTCCTCCAGTGAGGTTTTTTTTTGGGTTTCTGTTTGGTGGGTTTTTTGGGGGTGATCTGTTTGTGTGTTTTGTGGGGTACAGGGCAGGGGAAAAGAGTTATAAATCACAAGGGCAGAGACTGTCCATCTATCTTCCTCTGAAAGGCTGAAAAATTCAAACCACAAGAGAAATGCCACCTTTGGATTAGCAGTGCAACTTCCTAAGGGATACGATCAACTGAAAGATGAACTAACTCCATTTAAAAATCTTGCATGAGTGTGGAATTTCATGTTACATTTTATTAAAGCTGCCCTTCTAATAAAAAAAAAAGTTTAAAAAAAAATAAAAGGCTACAGTCCTGAAGGTATGCAGTTCAAATCCACCAGATGCTCCTCTGGAGAAGGAGGGGCAAACTACTCATGTGCCAGTCGGATCCAATTTGAAGGTACATCAAATTAAGAAGAATACATACATACATACATACATACATACATACATACATACATAAAAGAAAAGAAAAGGCTGAAGTGGCTGGAGGAGACTGGGCAGGAAGGTGGACATACCTGTGCCCTTCTTACAGACGTAGGGGAGGTTGTAGTTGCAGGGAACATCATTCCAGCGCCCACTCTCATGAGCCACCATCACTACGCAGTCTTCCCCGCCCGCGAAGAAATTGTCCGGCTGGTTCTCCCTCCAGTTCTCATATTGCTGCAGGAGTAGAGGTGGCGGGGCTCAGAGGATCACGTGCTGGCCCAGGTTACGACCCTGCTGCTATGGGAATTACCTGGCCAGACCACTGAAATTCTCAGAAACTCAGTATTCCCATCTCTTAAATGGCCACTATTTTGCCTACTCTTACAGCCTCTCACTGTGGTTCAAAGTACTGCTGGCTAAGTCACTATGGGCCAAGTCACTGCCACCTAAGTCCACCCTCCTCTGGCTGCGAGGCTGTAACATCCTCCTCCCTGGTTTTCTGGTCTCCTCAACTCCCTCACTACCCTGAAAGCTCGATGTCACTGTTAAATAGTTCAGAATCTGTTATATGTCTGGCCGTGTGAACAAAAGTTGGTATAGCTCTGAAAGTCTAAGAGGACTTCCCTGAGGAGGTGACAGGTGAGTTGAGGACTCAAGGATAGGTAGAATCCAGGCAGACAATAGAGTTACAAGCAAAGGAAACAGCATATGCAGACAACTGAGCCTTTTTGAGGAACCAAGTAGAGGTTTTTGGGACTCAATTCAAGTCGGAATGTGGCCAGATGGTGCAGGGACTCAGGTCCTATGTTTAAGAAGAGGTGGTGGATATTTAACTTTAAAGAAATGGGGAAGGGGAGCTCTGGTGGCCTAGTGGCAAGAAGTTGCACTGCAATCCCAGAGGAACACGGTTCAAATCCACCAGATGCTCTGCCGGAGAAGGAGGCGCAATATCCTCCTGTACCAGTCAGATCTGATTTGACGGTACACGCACACAAAATAATAATAAAAATTAAAAAAAAAAAAGACAGACTCAAAGAAAGAGTAACATTTAAAAAAAAAAAAAAGAAATGGGGAGTCACGGAGGGTTTGAGAGAGGGGAGGATCCCGCCAGCTTGCAAGAGGCCAGCCAGTGAGGAGCATTCATGGTGGCCACAGAGGGAGCCGGCTGTGGAGCCATAAGCGTATGTGAGACCACAGCTTGGGGGGAGCCTCAACTCTGGGCCTCAGTTACCAGGCTGATGGCGACCGTTTATGACTAGAGCAAGACAAGGGCACCGCTGAGCCCCTGCTGCAGGCCAGCAGCCGAGAGCCACTGAGGCTTTGACATCCACCTGTGGTTATTTAGTACAGAAGGGTAAACGGAGGCCTAGTCGCAGAGTCCAGATGGCTCAGGCTAGATCTCTCTCTTCTGAGCAAGGGACCTGTCATTACCTAAAGGCAGAGACCCCAGTCACAGCTCCTGTCACGCCCCAGTCACTCACCAGCCCCGAGTTGTCCGTCCACTGGAAGTCCCTCTCCACGATCCTGTCATTCAGGCCAATCCACGTGTTTTCATGCCCAAAGCCTATGAGTACAGGAGCGTGTGAGGACAGGGTACCTGAGCCCTCTCCTAGATGCCCATGTGAGAGGAGGGGCAAAGAGGAAGGTAGAAAGGTCCTTCTCCCATTCTCAACTGTAATCTGGAGGTGGGGTGGTGGGATCATGAGGACTGGGGACCCCAAGTATATTCTCCAGCATCACCAGCAGGTGGACTGGAGGTGAGGGGTCTAAGAGGACCCTGAGCTCCACCTCCCCAGTCTTAGGTAAGGGCTGGAAATGAACGATGTGGCAGAAAGGAAGAGTGGTGACATTCAAAGTGGGTGGGGGGTGTAGGGTAGAGGAGTACCTCAAGACCTTCCCCAGCCTTGGAGGTGTGCTGAATGCCATGCCCTCACCTCCATCCACCCCAAGCAGGTGTGGATTCTACTTGCCACTTTATCTGGGGACTGGGGGCACTACTACAGAAAGGGCTAGAATTAAGCCCCAGCCTTGTTATTATTTGTGTCTTTAACAAACAGGCTGAGGAAGGAATACTCAAGCCTCATGCTCTCTTTGTCCGAATGAGAGAAGAGGGAACTGGAGGGCCCTGGGTCAGTGTCCAGTCAGGGGCAGGAGTGGGGAAGAGTGGAGAGGGCATCCGATTCCACAGAGGGAGAAAGAAACAAGTGAACCGGGGTCAACAAAAGGAAGAATTAAGGGGGACGGGAGCAGGGAACCTGAATGAACCGAGGGTTGAGCCCCAGCAGAAAAGATCATGAATAAATCAATAAATGCTGGATTTAATTACTGCAATGCTCTGCCCTCTCTCAAGGTCTCAACAGAGCTCGTTCTGCATTTCATCCCGCTTGGCACAGATGCTCCTCAAACCCACTCTCTGTCCCCTGGCCCTGTTTCATTTGCCGGGGGGGCACTTAGGGCCAGCTAAAAGGATACTCCAGATTGATGTAATTAGATAATTACTTGTTTGTCTCTCTCCCCTACCAGAAGCCCCTCCTCGAGGACGGAGGGACCCCAGTGCCTGGAAAGGTGCCTAGCCTGTAGCAGGCACTCTGTAATTACATGACAAATGAGGGAATAATGTGAGTGCGTGGATTAACAAGTGCATAAACACCCGACACATGGCCTGGGGATGCCACCCTTGCACACCCGAATGGCTGTCGGTCCTCCCCTCCAAAGTCCCTACTGTTAATGAAGTTGTGCTCCTCTGGCGAGTGGATACTGGTCAGGTGGCCAGCTCGGCGTCGGCAGTCCCTCTCGGCATCCTCCCATGCCCGCCGATGGGCAAAATAGCGGTAGCAGTGGCCTTGGAACTTATGCCAGCCATGATCACAGCCTTCCGTGTCTGGGGATGGGATGGAAAAAATGAGGGTGACTGGCCATGAGCACAGCAGTCCCATAATGTCACTGCAGTCCTGGATCACAGCCCTGCTGCCCTCCTCCTGAGTCCCTCAGCTTTTACCCTCCCCCTTTCCCATATTAACATCTCTTCTTTGTTGCCAGAAGAGATTCATCAATACACCTCATCCCTTCTGATTCCAATACTGTCAGCTCCTTCCTTGATCTTTAGGGTCACACGGGGCACTGTCTCATCAGGGCTGGAGGATGCATAGGACCTGGAGCTCCAGAAAATGATTCTGTGAAGGTCATAGAGACATTTCTCCAAAGAAGATCCACAGCACACCCATGTTTATCACGGCTCTGTTCACAATAGCAAAGAGTTGGAAACAACCGAAGTGCCCATCAACAAACGAATGGCTAGAGAAGCTGTGGTATATTCACACAATGGAATACTATGCTGCATTGAAAAACAAGGAACTCATGCAATATTATTCAAAATGGGTGATCCTGGAGGACATTATGCTGAGTGAAATATCTCAGTCACAAAATGACAAATACTGCATAGTGCCACTGTTGTAAAACGGAACTGACATCAGGGCTGGGGGGAGACTGAGAAAGATGGGTTTAATTATGTATATGGCATTGAAACAGATGAGAGAGAGAACTGTTTAAAAAGTATATATGATTAGGTATCATTGTCATGACAGGAGTCCAGAACAAAGGCTGCATAGTGGAGTGGACTTGGGGGGAGAGACTGTATAACTATGAAAAAATTTTTCTTTTACTTTTCAAAGAGAAGAGCAAACTGAGGGGGAGGAGTGGGCAGGGAGAAAAGTGCAACAATGTATGAATGGAAATCCAAAATATCTGTAAATTCTCATTAAAATTATTATTAATAATAATAATAAAAAAAAGAAGATACACAAATGACCAGAAGGTTCATGAAAAGTTAACTCAGCATCATCTGTCATTGATGCAATGCAAATAAAAACCCTGCTGTGGTCTCACTTTGCATCCACTAGGCTGGCAAGAATAATGATGATAATGTTTATGGCTGCGGAATCATATGCACAACAGAACTCGATGATGCCCAACCCTGCACCGTCTTCAATATTATCCATATATTTGAGTCCACTGCTGTGGTTACTGTATTAGTCCATCTCACTGAGGGTTTCCCTCAGGACGATATATAATAATAAAGAAAAATAACAAGTGTCGGTGAGGATGAACCTTCATCCATTTCTGGTGGGCATGGAAAACAGGGCATCCACTCTGGGAAAGTCTGGCAGGTTCCCAAACCATTAACCACAGAGTTATCATGCGGCTCAGCAGTTCCATTGCTGGGTATATAGACAGATCCAAAGCTGCTGAGTTGATTGCAACTCCCAGCATCCTTTGGGACAGCACAGAGCTAGCCCGCAAGGTTTCCAAATCTTTACAGAGGCAGAGCACCACCTCTTGCTGTCAAGGAGCTGAGCACTTACTTCAATCAGTGCCCCACTAGGGTTCTTGAGTATATACCCAAAAGTAATGAAGATAGAAACTCAAATAAATACTTGTACATGAACTTGCTCATTGCAGCATTCTTCACAAGAGCCAGAACAGTGGAAATGACCCAAGTATTCCTCGGGAGATGAATGGATCCACAGACTATGATCCACCTGTTGCTGGTGTTGTTGAATACCAACGAGTTGAAACTAACCCATAGATGACCCTCCAGCGGGTTTTCAGAGGTTGTTAATTGCATGGGAGGAAACTGTCCATCCTTCTCCCACAGAGCAGATGGTGGACTTGAACCACATGCCTTCAGGATTGCAGTGCAGTTTCTTATTACTAGGCCACCAGAGCTCCTTATCTGATGGAATATTATTCAGCTATGAAAAGGAATGAAGCAGTGATACGTGCTACTGAATAAATAGACCTGGAAAACATTCTAGTGACTGAAAGAAGCCAGATACAAAAGGCCCGATGCTATCTGGTTCCATTTATATGAGAGGATCAGGATAGTGAAATCCAAAGAGGCTGAAGCAGATTAGTAGTTGCCAAGGGCTAGGAGAGGAAGGTTAAAGGACCACTGATAGCAGGAATGGGGTCTCTAGAAAAAGTCTGGAACCAGATAGAGGTGGTGGTTACACAACCCTGTGAGTGTACTAAATGCACTTGCAAATGAACAATAATTCAATGCTATGTGAATTGTACCTAAAAACCTCCCTCCTGTTAGATTCACAGCCTGAGGCTGAGACCAGGGCTGTGTGAAGGAAACCTGTGGCCAGCACCCAGCCCACTCCTGGTACTGCCCTGGTATCGGGGCAGAGACTCACCTTTCTCACAGAGGTTGCCCCCGTAGCTGGGGAGGCAAAGGCAGACAAAGCCGTTGACCTCGTCAATGCAGGTGCCTCCGTTCTCACAGGGGCTGCAGATGCAGTCATCGATATCTGGAGGGGAAGGAGAAGGGTCAGGGGTCAGCATCTTCCTGGCTCCAAGTCCCACAGGGGACCAGGTGGGAGAGGGGTCATGATCTTGCCATCCAGCCTGGGCAGATGGCCCACTGGCTCTGTGGGCCAATGGGATGGAGCACCCTGAATTAGCACGAATAAAAGCAGAAATCCTAGATCAAGTGAGGGCTAGAATGTGAGCACAGCAGAATATTTGATTCTGAAAAAGTGAGGGAATCATTCTTACATGGAGCTTCATAGATGGGGGGGGGGAATGTGTTGTGGCCAGGAAACTGGATTCCTGGGACTTGGATAGAGTCACAACCTGTTTACAGATATAGGTAAATACTCAGTTCCACTCCTACCAACCCCCTGTAGAGATGGCGTGTGAGATGCATATGGCACCAGATAACCTGCAGCTCTTCTGTGAAGACTCAGCTTTTTTCTCTTTGCAAAGGGGTGGTAATGACAGTACCTCATCAAGAGTTGTTGTAAATGCAAAGTCAGTGGGCAGAACCCAATAAATTACACTGATTGCATGTATTATTGTAATTCTGTAATTGGAAGCGTGGCTGTGAAGGATCAATGAGATAATGCACTGAGATTAAGAAATTATATCACCTATATTTTTTGTTCTATTCTGTAATGAGTGGCATAGTCTGCGTCTGAGGTGAGCATTCAGGCATTCTAATGGTGGCGCCCACATTCCTCCCCACACAAGAAAGGCCAGTGAGTGCCCCGTAGGGCTCTTGGCTGGTCAAATCATCCTTTCTCTTCTTCTCCTGGCACCTTCCTGGCAACAGTGGAGGCAGCACACCAGAGTCACTGCCTCAGGGTTAGAGCTCAGCTGTGGTACATGGTTTGGTTCTGGTGCTAACTGGGGCTGATTGAGCAGGATCCAGGGAGGGAGAGAGGGGAGAGAGAGGGGTATCTGATGCCAGAATTTTGTGATTCCCTTGGATCTTGGGGGACCATGGATGCTGGGACCCAGAGCGCAATGCTGTGGAGTTAAATAAATTCAGGATAAAAGCTAATGTCTGAATTACTCACCAATCTCACAGTTCTCCCCAGCAAAACCCTGATCACAGATACAGCCGTACATGGTGCCGTTGGCATTACAGGTCCCTCCATGCAGGCATGGGTTATTCTCACAGGGATCAGAGGGGACTGCAGGATAGAGAGGCAGTGTCACAAGGGATCAGGTCATCTGCTCAACTGCCTTCTCCAAACCCAGACCCCAGGCCTCCAGAGCCCCGCTTATCAATCTCTTCTCTGTGAGTTCCTCTCCACAGTGTCCCCAGCAGGTATTCACCAACTTCTCTTGTATGGTCCCTGAGACAAGGAGCTCACTCTTCAAAAGAACTTCTCAATGCCTAGGGCAAAGTCCTTTCTTGGACTAAACTGAAAAGGGGTTCTTGAAGCTTCTCTTACAAAGTCTCCTGGAAGATGGGTTGATAGCCCTCTCTAACTTGTCTCCTTTTAGACATACCCAGCTGGTCAGCGAACTCACTATTTGGGATACAGAAATAAACACAAAGTTCTAGGCAGAATATGAACAATACTGGGAAGAATGTGAACCATCAAGTACCTCCTCTATTCTAGTGCCTCAACCTCTTGTGATATAACCTCACTGATTTTGAGAAGTGGTGGATATAGTGATTAAAATGATGATTTGCAGAATCTGAGAGGCCTGGTTCAAGTCCTGGCTCTGCCACTCACTAGAGTACCTTGGGCAAGTCATTTAATGTCTCTGGATTCCATTTACCTCTCTTTGGTATGTGCTGTTGAGTCAGAACTGACTCACAATTGACCATCCAGTGAGTTTTCAGAGGGTGTAAATCATAGGGAAAGAAAAGTCCCATCTTTCTCCTGCAGAGTGATTGGTAGACTTGAACTGAGTGCCTTTGGGTTGGCAGCACAACTCCTTACCTCTAGGCCACCAGAGCTCTCTTTACCTCCTTTAGGATATAGAAACTAAAATAGTTCATCCTTCTCCCTGAGTCCTAACTACACTGCTGTGTCCAGATGGTGTTCCTATTAACCTGAGCCCCCTCGGGAGGGTGAGACTGAGCCAGAGCACCCAGGAGGCATCAAAGACTGTGGGACTCTATCCCTCATCATTCCAGCTAGGCTTCCCTAGAGTCAAGTGGATCCCCTCCCCACCTTGGGGGCTCAGAGGCCCAGGTAAGTGGCTACTACCTCCCTGAGGAAGATCCTCCCCCTGGAACCTAGGAAAGGGAGGAAAAAAAAACCCATCCAAGTACAGCCAACAACCCAACCTAACCATGCTCAGACCTCCACTGTACAGACACAGAGATTCAGTGACAAGCAGGTTACCCTAGGGCAAAGGCTTAGTTCAAAGCCATACACTAAAAAAAACAAAACAAAAAGAAAAGAAAAAAAAAACAACAAACCACCAAAAAGCCACACACTAGAAGGGACAAGAGCCAAGACTGATCCCGGATCTCCAGGAACCCTGTTCTAAGGCTCCGTCTTCAGCCCCTGTAACCTAGATTTTGTGTGCCTTGGGTACCACAAGAAATTGAGGTGTTAACCTGGCTTCCAGTCTCCTGCCCTCACCGGTCACAGACTGTTCTCCTCACCACGGCCAGGGGGAGCCTGTGAGCCAATAAAGTCATAGTCCTCTTCCTAAAGCACACTGGAATGGCCCTTAAAAGAAAGGCCAAGCTTCACTACAGTCCTGGGTTCTGTCTAATCTGCCCTAACATTTCCCTCCCCTCATCTCTCTCTCCCCTCATTGATTAAGGAGTTGTGCTGCTAACCCAAAGGCATGTGGTTCAAATCCACCAGCCTGCTCCGTGGGAGAAAGCTGGGAAGTCTCCTCTCTTAGGATTTACTGGCTCTGAAAACCTGCTGGAGCGTCAGTTATGCACTGAATCCAGTTTGGCAGTACATAACTAACCCAACCATCTGTTCCTCTAAGACACTTATCATAGTTCTGCCACAGGGCCTTTGCACAGGCTGTTCCTGGCCTAGATTGCTCTCTTCATCTCTTCAGGACTTCTCCTTCACCTTCTCCACATTTTGCTTAAATGTCTTTTCAGAGAGCTTTCTTTATCTTTTTATTATTTTTTAATTTCTTTTTAAATTTTATTTTATTTTTATGTGTGTGCTGTCAAATGGGATCTGACCGGTACAGGAGATTGTCCCTCCTTCTCTAGCAGAGGATCTGGTGGCTTTGAACCATGTACCTCTGGGATTGCAGTGCAGCTTTCTGCCACTAGGCCACCAGAGCTCCCTTTCAGACAGCTTTTTTTATGACTTATTCCCACTCCCAATTCCAAATGACAAACCAGCCCTTGACAATTCTCCCCCCTGCTTTATTTTCTATACTGCTTATTACCACTTTCTTACAGCCAACATAGGGCATGTGTTTGAAGCCACCAGCTGTTTTGTAGAAGAAAGACAGGCAATCTCCTCCTGTGTGATTTACTGCGTCTGACACCCCCCCACACACACTGGAGGGTCAGCCCTGAGTCAGTTCTGACTTGACGACACACAACAACATCCAACATAATTCATCTGTTTACTAGGAATGTTGTTTCTTGTCGGTCTCTCTCAAAGACTGCCACTAGTCACAGGTGGCTAGTCAACTTGAAAAAGTGAAAATGCAGTTCTTCAGCCACCCAAGCCACAGTCCAAGCACTCAGTAGCCACAAGTGGTTCTGGTTCGGTTATTAACACACGAGGAATGCCTTTCCATCACTGCAGAAAGTTCTAGTATGCCACTTTTCAGAAGACAAAGGTTTTGGTCGCAGCAAAGGGCCTGGGACCTAACAGACATTCAGTAATTACTTGCCAACTAACTGACTGCTGCAGATGCTCTCCTGCAGTGGCCTGTCCCTGGAGTGGAGGCTGGAGGGGCTGTGTGTCAGCTCTGGCACGTGTGTGCACATGCATGTGGCTTCAGGGTGGTGGAGCCACGTGAATTCCACCAGGTGCCCCGTGCTGCTGACACCTGCCCACGGACTGGCGGTGACTCAGTAGCTCGCGGGTGTTGCGTTTATTTTTGGCTTCATTAGCATTTCTGCTGCAAGCGACGGGTGGGTGGTGACTGGGTGTCCCCCAGCACCGCCCGTCTCCCTCTGCCCTGGCTGCCGCTGGCTTCAGTCTGAGCCAGAATCCAGAAAAGTCCAGAACAAGCTCAGTCCTGGTAACAGGGTTCAGTGCACTGTCGTTTCTTCAGTTCCTCACTATCAGCATCTCCTGCATCTCCTTGGACCACCTCTGCCTGGCCCAAGCATGGGCTTCCGCACCCACTGTCTCTTTTCAGCACCTCCCTGGGCCAGCTCAACAATTCCTCAGGGTTGTTTTCACACCAAACAAGTAAAGGTGCTGCAGCCTAGAGGTTGAGACCAATATCCTGCAGTCTGATGACCTGAGTTCAAATCCAGCCTCCACAGGTCTTAGCTGTATGACACTGTGCACGCCCTTTATCATCTCCGAGCTTCAATTTCCCCATCTTTAAAATGGGGTTTACACTCAAACTTGTTCAACAAGAACCTTTAAGTATCATAAGGCCCTTGGGTGCCCCTGAGTCAGCCCCCAACTTGTGGAAATCCCATATACAGAGGGACAAAATGCTTCCCAATCTTGTACCATATCTTTGACGGGGTGAGATCCACAGGCTTTTTCATAGGCTGCTTTTCAGAAGCCAGTTTGCCAGTCCTTTTTTCCTAGTCCCTCTTAAGCTGGAGGTTCCACTGAAAACTATTTGACATCACCGCAGCATTCAAGCCTCCACCACCAGGTGGGTGATGGCTGTGCCTGGGGCGCACTGGCTGCGAACCAAAGTGGAGCATCCTGCATAGAAGATGTGAGTTCTACAACAGAACGACCACAGCCTCGTTACAAAGACTATAAAGACAATCGTAAAGATGATACATTACGTAATAAGGTGAAGTGCTAAGAATACTCCAAGCACACACACAACAAACAGTTTTTATCAAAACTTGGGCCCCCGTCCAGGTCTGTCTGTGTCCAGGTCACCAGGGTAAAGCGGTTCCCACTGGGACACAGCCCAGAGGGACCAGGTAACAAAATCCATGCCCTCTACTTACTTCACTGCCACACTTGGCCTCAAAATGAAGGGGCAAGTTAAACACCAATTGTGTTAATAAGGGTGTTTTACAGCATGGAAAAGTGCTTTTTAATTAGCTTCATTTTTTAAAAAGCTCATTTGACCAGGGAAAAAGAAAAAAAACCAGTTCACTATGGCAGGATCTAAAACAAGGGCTGGAGTGGTGCAGACTGAGCTGGGGGCTGACCTGGCCTGAGGTGTTCTCTAGACTCTACTGGTATCTAAGACTTTACAGACATGGGATCCAGCCACTGACAAGCTCTGGTGGCAATGTGCTCTCCCTGAGCCTTAGTTTACTCGTCTGTAAAATGGGGGTGATGCTCACAACTCTTACCCCCCTGCCAGGGCCCACACTCCTGTCACTGCGGTTCCAGGTCCTCATGATCCCCATCCAGTTCTAGGGTCCCTTGTCCTGAAGCCCTCTCTGTCCCCCCTGGCTCTGCCTGAGGAGTGTCTGTGACCAGCTCTGTCTCTCTCAGGGTACAGTTCTCCAAGACCCAGGCCTCAGGATTGCTCAGCACTGTAGGGTTCAGAGTGGATGTGGGCATGAGTTGTTGACTAAGCTCATGCTAAACACAAACATTTTACCAAACGCTTCATCATTCTCCTATGTTTGCCATAGGGACACATCCCTAAGCTCAAAATGGACTCAGAGCCACCTCACTTCCTAGTCTTTGCCCACTCTGGCCCGCTGCCTATTCCCCCATGGCCTCTCTCCTCCTCCCTCCCCACTCCAGCCAGCTTCCTTGCCCTCTAATCCCTGACCACTGAAGGCTAGACTAGGCCATGAGGCCTGAGACTCACCGTCTTCCATGTTCCCTTTCGTTGGGGTCCCCGGAAGGGCTGGCTCCTCCCCACTTGCTGCTTCTTCCCAGAAACCCTCCACACCTGGGCCTCCTGCCAGGACCTCCAGATCCAACTCCTCAGGCCCCAGGGAGGTAGGGAGCAAGGTGCCAGGGGGCTCCCATGGGGCAGTGGGCTCCCCTGAAGAAACAGAGGCGGCCTCGTCCGTGCCGGCTACAGTTGGTATCTGTGGGCTGCTGTCCTCCCACACAGAAGCTGAGGCCACCAGTGTCCCCGCCTGACCCTCCAGCTCTGGGTGATGCTGGAAGCCGGGGGAGGTCAGAGTGGACGTGACCAGGACCCCAAGCTTGTCCTCCAGATCTAAGGATGCAGGTGAGGTCACTACTCTCGAATCCATAGTTGCTGGTGGGCTTAAGGCAGAGCGCTCGGGTCCCTCAGTCACATGAGATTCAGGTCCCCAAGTTCCACTGGTACCTGTGAGGTCCCCCGTCGCTGTGGGGTTTATGGGGCCCTCTGTGGCTCCCCCATCCATAGCTGCCTGAGGCGCCAAAGTCAGGTTTCTTGCTTGGTTGAATGGAGGCACTCCTGTCACCAAGGAGATTCCAGTGGCCTCAGAAGGTATAGCCGGGGAATGAAGGTGAAGTCCACTGCTGTCCACCTCATCCACGGTGGCCGGCAGGTCAATGAGCCCTGACTCAGACCTCCAGTCATCTCCAGCTCCTGTGGGCTCAGCAGGGGACTCCGTGGGGGAGACAACAGCCACTACATTCTCCTCTGTTGAAGCCCATGGGCTGGGGCTGGGGCTGGGGTGCTCAGGTTTGCTGGGCCAGGCAGGGCTTGTCCCTTCAACTTGCCTGGCATTGATACTGGCAGTGTCAGGGATGGCTTTGGTTCCTGGGTCCATGGCTTCCAGTGATGACGGGGCTGTGGAGTTGTGTGCTTTTAGGTCATTGAGAACTGGGGATGTGGCCTCCCCAGTCTGACTTGGAGGGCCCGAGGAGGTGGTCCAGGAAGATGCCTTGGGATCACTGAGGCTCTGGGAGCTAACCTCAGCTTCTGAGGCAGGGGCAGGGGTGAAAGCAGCTGGGGCCTCGTGGCTCTCGGGGAAGACAGGGGTCGGGGCTGTAAGATGCTGTGGTTTGGGGGCACGTAGCATGGCTATGACAGGGAGGTCCATGGAGGTGGCTGTGGGGGAGGTTTCCCGGGGTTGGGTGCTGGGGCTGAGAGGCAGGGCAGGAGCCTCAGAGGGAGGCCAGGGTCCAGCAGAGGTGGCTGGCCTTACAATGTGGCCTTCAGTTTCCTGGAGCTTCAGTCCAGGGGCCCTACTAGGAACTGAGCTGCTGGGAGGAGCTGCAGTCGGAAACCACTTCCAGGGCTCTGGAGAACTTCTGCCACCAGGGGAATCTGAAACAACAACAACAATAATAATGAATTATTATTATTATTATTATTATTACTATTTCAGGGTGGCTTCTGTGGAGCAGCACCAGGGACAGGGGATCCCAAGTACACTCTGAATCCTGCCAGAGGTCACACCTCCCCACCCTGATCACCAATAATTCTCCTGGATTCCTACTCACAGGTTTCAGGTCTATCCACCTCATTGGTCAGGATGTCCCAGGGGCTTGGTTTGGCTGTGGCTTCGGCAACTCCCGTGGTCAAAGGAAGTTCCACATGGTTTCCTGTGGCCTCTAGAGTGGGAGTCTGGACGCTGGTTTCCTGCTCCCTGTTCCCTTCTTGTCCCAGCTCTTGCTGCTGGAAGTGGCGCCCATTCAGCCCTTTGAAGCGTCCCTTCCTGCGAGGTGTGGAGCCAGTCAGAGGAGCTTCAGAGTGGGTTCCCACTGAAGTGTCCTCTTCCATGCTGGGGCTGGGGGACACTGTGCTCATCCATGTCTCCTCATCCACTAGGGAAGGCACAGAGGCCCAGGCCAGCGTGGGGTCCCTGGGGGCAGAGGAGGGGGTCTCCAGAGATTCCTGCATCTCTGCTAAAATCAAGGGTTCTTCCTCTCCACTAGACATCAGAGGCTCCTGGAAGTCAGGGGTGACCGGCTTCTCCTCCCCCAGGCTGGGCTCCAGGTCTCTGGCTGGAGGCCCTTCTGCTGATAGAATCTCCGCCTCATCTCCAGATGAGGGGGTCTCTGTGTCTCCGTGTTGCGGTGTGGGGTGGTGCGCTGTGGGATAGAGCAGAACAGGTTGTGTTGGGCTCAGGAATGGGCAGGAAGTTCTGTCTAATGTCTCTCCACATTCCAGCATGTTGCAGCAGTTCTATACATTGCTCTGAGTCTCTCTGTTTGTGGGTCCCAATGTCTCTCTGTATCCTTGTATCTCAGTGGCCTCGGGAAATGCCCAGCCTCAGAGAGAGCAAAAGTTATCATGCCACTGTGCAGAGGTACGGGGTCAAAGTCAGGAGTCACTGAGACAGTTCCAACTTACAGGCTCGTGAGTCAGCCTGTGCAGAGAGGGACTGAGACCTGGGCCATCACTCCATTCACTCACTATTTTTCTTGTTTTTAAATTTAGTTTTTATTTAATTTTCTTATTTTGTGTGTGTGTACCATCAAATCAGATCTGACTGGTACTGGAGGAGATTGTCCCTCCTTCTGCAGCAGAGCATCTGGTGGATTCAAACCGCCCACCTCTGGGACTGCAGTGCAGCTTCTTGCCGTTAGGCCACCAGAGCTCTCTTCCTTTGCTAGTTTTCACTCACTCACTAATTGCCAATGCGTTTGGAGCTGACTCACATCTGACCCTCCAGTGGGTTTTCAGAGACTATAAATCACACATGAGGAGACTCCCTATCTTCCTCCAGTGGAGGAGCTGCTGGTGGATTTGACCTGTCAGAGAGGCACTACCTTGGGTAAGCACCGCAACTCCCAGCAGACACCAACAGAGCTCCATTCTCTGTTTCTAAAGCGTACATTTCACAGCCTGGATGCTTAGAGTTATGACACAGATCCTGGCAACTGGGTTTTGCTACTTCCCAGACTGTGGCCTTACCCCAAAAGCTAGCACTGTCCCTGTTTGGGCCTCCCAAAGGCATGGCCACACAATCACAGGTACCTAAGGGGTCTGGTGGCCTTAGTGGTAAGCAGCTGCACTGTAATCCCAAAGGCACATGGTTCAAATCCACCAGCTGCTTGGCAGGAAAAGGATGGGCAATCTCCTCCAGTGTGATTAACTGCCTCTGAAAACCTGCTGGAGAGTCAGCTATGGGTTGGTTTTGACTGACAGCACACACAACAATAAGAGTATAACCTAAGTACAGCCAGTTGTGGAGACATAGGGCTCCAACTAGGGGTGCAGTCTTGCAGGTGACTTAATCTTGGGGATGTGTGATTTCACTGGCTCCTGCTTAGCTCCCTCCCCAGGGTTTAGGCTCCACCTAGGTCTCAGGGGTGGGACATTCCAAGGGGCTTGTCTTCTGGGCCTAGAGAAGGTAGCACTCTCACAGGGCCACGGATTTTTAAAAAGGGTGTGACATCTGAGTCGAATGCACTAGAAGTTAGGTCCACTGGCCTGGACATCTGGAGGCGTGGCTATAAAAGTAGCATCATTATAGGATCACGGCCCCCTTAAGGATGTGGTCTCAGAGGCTGGCTACTAAGTACAGCATACCCCTGGGCCCTGGACTTTACCAAAAAAGGATAGGCACCTGCAGACATAGCTACAAGTGGTAGTGTCCCCACCCTGTCCTCACAGACCAGGGCTGCCAGGAGTTATCTTTCAGAGAAGGTCCTCGCCAGTGTTCTCCGTGGCCTCTGCCTCTGGGAGTGGCTTTCTCAGAAACCGCAGACTTCTGGGAGTGACTAGCAAGAAAAGCACCCTCCTCGGGATGTAGGTAGGAAAGGTAGCCCCTCCGTGGATGAGGCCGATGGGATTTATTCTAATAAATCTTATCCTTCTGGGGAGGGACTATCGTGTAAACACAGGTGGCATCTGGGCAGCAGGTGATCATCAAGAAAGCACTCGCTGTAGGTCATTGTTAAGAAGGGTAGCATCCTATGGGTGTGACCCATACACTTATTTTAATGAATTCGGTCCCACTGAGAAGGTGCCCTGCTGGCCCAGTGCTTAAGTGCTTGGCTACTAATCAAAAGGTTAACTTTCAACTTATTTGTTATGGAGCTGGAACCAACTAATAGCTGACCCTCCAGGTGGCCCTTGGAGGCTGTAAGTCACACTGGAGGAGTATCTGTCTTTCTCCTGAAGAGTCACTGATGGGCTTGATCACCAGAGAAGGGCCACCCTTGGGTTAGCGATGCAGCTCCCCATGTGCTATGCCAACAGATCTCCTTAAGCATAGGGTTATTGTTGTTATGTGCCATAGAGTCTGAACCGACTCACAGCCAATCATCCACGCAGGTTTTCAGAGGGAGTAAATGATACAGGAGGAGATTGTCCATCATGCTCCTGTGAAGCAGCTTGTGGGTTTGAACTGTGTGCCTTCAGGTTGGTAGTGCAGCTCCTTACCACTAAGTCACCAGAGCACAGAAGGGTAGGTGGTTTGAACTCACTAGTGGCTCTGAAACACAAAAATGTGATCATTTACTTCTGGAAAAATCTGTTGTCATTGTTGGATGCCATGGAGTCGCTTCCGACTCATTACAACCAACAGAATAAAACACTGTCTAGTTATTGCTATGCATCCAAGAGATGGACAATGAATAAGGATGACAGAAAAAGAATTGACACCTTTGAACTATAGCGTTGGAAAAGTGCACTGACCATCCCATGGATGGCCAAGAAAACAAACATTTCTTGGAGAGGGTGCAGCTGGAGTGCTCTTTGGAGTCAAGAATGATGAGGCTTCACCTCACATACTTTGGGCATGTTGTTAGGAGGGTCTATTCCTTGGAGAAGGACATGATGCTGGGAAGGGTGGAGGGTCAGCAAAGGAGAGGAAACCCTTCAACCAAGTGGATTGACACAGTGAGTGCTTCAATGAGCCCTTGTGTGTGGGGAAGTCTAAGGATGGCACAGGATAGAACAGGGTTCAGATCTTTTGTTCATGGGGTCGCTATGAGTCATACTTGACTCAATGGCACTTAAGAACAACAACAGTCATTACTACGTTTGCATTCATATTGAAGGTCCTCCTTTTTCATTCTGACCCCCTACTTTAGCAAGCATGAGCTCTTTCTCCAGATCCCTCCTGTTAGACATCCAAAGTATGTGAAAAAACGTCTCACCCTCCTTGATCCTAAGAAGCATTCTGGCTGTGCTTCTTCTAAGACAGATTTGTTCATTATTCCGGCAATCTGTGGTGTAATTTAATATTCTCCACCAACGCTCTAATTCAAATGCATACGCGGTGACTGAAACGCACTGGATGGAAAACTACGGGGCAGTGCTACTCTGTACAGTCAACGAAGGGGTGGAATGGCAACAAGGTTGGTTGGGCTCTTTTGTGGCCTGGCTGTCACAAGGCCGAGATCACAGCCCAGGGGCGTGGCTATCACGGGCTGGAAGCATCAAGGAGGCGTGGCCCATGGCATTCACTCCAATGAAGCCCTTGGGGCGGGGCTGTACTCACCTCGGAAGCAGTAAGCGTCAAAGCGCGCGGCGGGAGCGGGGAAGCCGGTGCGGTTGGCGAAGCGGTAGACGGTGCGCACACCGGGGGCCGGGCCCCCGCAGCGCCGGCGCGGCGTCTGGATCGGGTAGCGCACGCTGCCGTCTGCTAGCCAACCTGGGTCACACTGGTCCAGGCCCTCGTGCCAGGCCAGGTGCAGCTGCCCCACCGAGGCTAGCGTGGCGCCCTGGCGGCGGCATTGGGCACGCGCTCCGGCCAGCGTCAGGCGGCGGGCTGGGCCCACGTAGAAGACCTCGCCTGCGGGAGGGGCAGCTGGGGTCAGGCTGGACGAGGAACCCACCCTAGCCCTTGTAAAGGGGTCTCTCTTCAATTGAAATAGCCCTGATTGGGCCTGGTTTGGGGAGCAAATGGTTAAGCAGTCCATAACAAACACTGTTGTATGGTCAGCTCATCTGTACTTTCAACGCAAAAAAGTGAGAGTTTTGTCTCTTTTTACAAATGAGATATCTCAGATCTCTGAGCAAATCGGTCTCCAATGAGAGGGAGGGGCTCACTGAGGGAGAAGGGGTTTAAAGTAGAGGAGGATAGTGAGCCGAAAGAGGAAGGGCTCTGAGAGGGTTAGTGTCTAACTCAGGTTTTAGTTGTTTAGAGGTGGATGAAACTCCAGACAGGTGGGTACTAGGGGACACTTAAGGGATGGAGAGTAACAGGTGCTCAGAGGTGCTGTGGGGTGTCCTTCCCAGCCTAGACTTACCCCCCAACTCTCGAGCAAAGCAGTAGACATCATAGAGTTCTTGTGGGTCTCTCCGCCCATAGCTTCTCACTCCGGGAAGGCTGCTACGGTCACCATAGCAACCAGGGCGTGACTGTGTGATAGGATACCTGGCAAGACAAGGAAAGGTCCCTCCCAGGTGTGTGCTAATGTTTCTCCGAGGATGCTCTTTTCCTCGGAGAGTCGCCTGCCATTTTCCCATTCTGCGTCCCATCTCACCTTACTGTACGGTCAGAGAGCCAGCCAGCATCACAGTTGTCGAAGCCGTCCTCAAAGGCTGCCTGTAGGTGCCGTGGTGCTGCAATGGTGGCTGAGCTGAGACGGCAGGCCTCCTGGGCTTCAGCAAACGTCAGAGCATAGCGGTCCCGGGCTGCTCGGTAGTGGAACACAACACCTGCGGGGGGCGGGGGAAGGAGCAGAAAGGGACATCTTAAAGAAAAGACATACTCCTTTCCTGAGTCATCCCACCAGTCTGACAATAATAGACCTGCCGCCATACTGTGTGCCCTGCACCACATTTATTCACTCAGCTCCAGGCACCATGCCCCCATTTTAGAGATGAGAAAACTGATAACAATGATTATTTTTTAAAATTCCAGAAAAAATCAAACCTTGCCATCAACATGGTGCTTTTATATTTTCACTCCAGAACTGCCTCCCAGGGCTTTTCTTGGCTGTACTTGCACATTACCACTGGGAAAGTCTAAACTGGCAACCTTCAGATGGGTTGTTGTTGTTGTTGTTTTAAGTGTTGTCAAGTCAAGTACGACTCATAGAGACCCTATGAACAAAAGATTTGAACCCTGTTCTAGAACTATCATCATTTCTCTAGTGTTCATAGGGTTTCCAAAGGCCTGTTATTTAAGAAGTGGATGCCAGTCCTGCTTCCAAGTCTTAATCTACCAAACCTTGTCCAACATGGGTAATCATTATGACATCTGACAGATTGGTAATAAGCACAAGCTATCTGTGTAACCCAGGAGCCTTAATGATGACCATAAAGCATTGAAACTTGACAAATATTTACAATGTGCAAAGCATTTATAAACAGATCCATATTTACAGCAACCCTGTGAATGGTCCCAATTTCCAGAGAAGGAAACTGAGGGTCACAGAAGATGAGAGCTGTATCTAGAGTCATAGAGGAAATATGAGGCAGAGCCATAATTCAAATCCAGGACAATCTGACTCCAAAGATGACATCTTCCATCTCAGAGTCAGGTCCTAGAGAAGATAGGATGCATGGCAAAGGGGTGCTGCCTTTTGGAAGTTCAAGGCATCCCTTCATAAAGAAAGCACAGGCCAGATGGAAGGCTATTTCTTGTGCAGACTGAGGATAGATTCATGGAAGGCTTCCAGGAGGAAGTGGCTTGTAAACCAGGCCAGAAATCAGCAGTACTGTTCACCGTGAATGAAACAGTTGGGCATAGAAAGGAAATAAATGTTTTGCTTTGTGTTATCAGACTGTGTTCCCAGATGGTAGCAGCTGAACTCATCCATGCCATGTCCCGAGCACCAGGCCAGCACAAAGTAGGTGCTCAAGAATTGTTTTGCTGAATAAATGAATGAAACCACTTCCAATGTGGAATTCACTGTCTTTGTGTCACAAATCACTGTTCTTTGAGGCCTTGAGTTTTATCAGTTTTGAGGAGTAAAACTGTAGAAGGGGAACAGTGGGCAACTTCATAAAATAGAAGAAAGACATTGGTCTCATCCTGCCAGTGTCAGGGGATACTGAACCCAGGGTAGGGGTGAGTGCAGAAGAAACTTAAGGTCTTTAATCATTTAACTGTTTTCTTTCCTTGTCCACTCTAATCAGTTAAGAAAACAGAAACTACACTGGATATTTCAACAGAGAGGATTTAATATAAGGAATTAGTTAAACAGGTATTAAAGGAGTGTTATTTCCATAATGTATATTTTTAAGCAGCTTGCTTTTGTAAAAATAGACTTGCTTTTTAAAAAGATAGGCAAAATTATTTGAAGGGATTTTTACAGTTGTATCTGAAATAGAAATCCAATCTCTTTTGCGTCATGTAAAACTGGTGCTCGCTGCCTTTTAGTCAGCTTTGAAAGCCTGGTGACTCCAGGCACCACACAGCAAAATGCTGCCCCGTCCGGCGCCCTCCCTGTGATTGGTTCCCGGTCAGACCATGGTGATACAGAGTTTTCAGGGGCTGATTGTCAGAACTAGATTGCCAGATTGTTCCTCCTAGTCCCTCTTAGTCTGGAAGCACCATGGAAACTAGTTCAGCAACACGTAAGCCTCTGCTGACAGATGGGTGGGGGCTGTGCGTGAGATGCACTGGCTGGGAATAGAGCCCAGGGCTTCTGTATGGAAGGTGAGAACTCTATAACGGAACCACTTAATGCTATATTAAATTCAATGATCAAAAATTGGATTTAAAAAAAGAGGCTGAAATCGTTCCTAGATATTGTGGGAGGTTGACCTGTAGACTACAAGACCAAGCTGCAAGTTGTCGTGTACCGTAGAGTTGGAACCAACCCATAGTTGAACCTCCAGCGGGTTTTCAGAGGCAGTAAAAACCCACACAAGGAGTTGATATGGAGGCAGTAAATCTCACAGGAGTTGACCGCTCATCTTTCTCCTCTGGTTGTTGTTATGTGCCGTCAAGTCGCCTGCAACTCATAGTGACCCTATGTACAACAGCCCTAAACTCCGCTCTGTCCTCTGCCAATCGCACTGTCTCCGACACTCCCATCCCAATTACCCCAGTCACTGAATCAACCCACCTCATAGAGGGCCTTCCTCTCCTGCGCCGTCCCTCCACCCTCCCAAGCATGATGTCCCTCTCTAAGGACCGGTCTCTCCTCACAACATGTCCAAAGTATGTTAGACGGAGCCTCAGAATCCTTGCCTCCAAGGAGCCACCCGGTTTAACCCTTTCCAGGACAAATCTGTTTGTTTTCCTAGCAGTCCATGGTATTCTCAGTACTCTTCTCCAGCACCACAGCTCAAAGGCATCAATTCTCTTTCTATCCTTCCTGGTCATTGTCCAACTCTCTGATGCATAACAAGTGATTGCGAAGACCATGGCCTGTATCAGACACACCTTAGTCTCCAGAGAGACACCATTGCAGCTGGTGGATTTGAACCACCTACCTGTGCACTGGTAGCACAATCCCTTACCACTAACCCACCAGAGCTCCCTACAAGAGAATGGTGCTAATGGCAGGTTAGTACCTGTGGAGAACTTCCACCACAGATGGAACAAAAGGCGACTGAGTTCAGAGAGTGGTTTTTTAAATGTTACAAAGTGGGTGCGCTCCCCGCCTAACCCCACCACCTGCCAGGCCCTAGCCCCTCTTGCACTGGAACTCACCTGTCACCTCCAGGGGCACCAGGTCCTGCTCATCCTCAATGCCTCGCACCACCTGGCAGCGGTAGAGTCCGGAGTCGCTGGCCCTCAGGGGCCCGAGCAGCAATGTGCCATTGGTACGGTGTGAGGGATACGAGGGCAGCGACACTCGTCCCTGCCAGCCCTTGGCTACCCGCACCACATTGTCTTTTGCCACCAGTATGGGCAGGTCTTGTCGCTGGCCGGACGCTGTCCGCACCTTGGTCCACTTGATCCTAGGGGCATCTCGGGCCACACCAGGTCGCAGCTTCAGGGTAAAGAGGCAAGGGAGGGACACCAGCTCAGCGAGTGCAGCCCGCACTGCCCCTGAACCCACCTTCTGCATGTGGAGCCCCTTCTCAGCATCCTGTGTGCCTGTGAGGGAGAAGGCAGAGAACTTGACTCAGAGGTGAAGATTAGAGAGAATGCTGCTTTCCTCATGTCACAGATGGGGAGACCACGGGGAGGGATAAGTGATCTATGTGACCCCCACAAAATAGTGATAGGTCTGTGATCTTCATCCCCGCAGAAGGGGAGCAACAGGGTCAAACCCATCATGGTCTTGCCTGTACTCAAAAATCCAGACGCCATAAGCCTCTCTATAGACCAATGGGGTGAGGAGACACCTTCACTGTCAATGTCAAGTTTCCTTTTCTGAACCTCAGTCTCTCCAGAAATTAAGCAGGGGGCAACAATCGGATGGGAAATTGTGTTTGTGGAGTACTTTCTGGATGTCAGGTAGGTAATTTTATAGCAACCAGGTCATTGCATCTTCTTAAGCATATGCAGAAATGGCAATGTAACATCCTCTTTGGGGGTGTTGGGTAATCTGAGGCTCAGAGAGGTAACACTACTTTCCTAAAGCCACAAAGCAGATCAGTGAGGGATTTCCAAATCCTTTTGACAACCCTTCTAGAAATGCTAGAGAAACAAGTACTCACCTCCCTTTCCATTACTCCTCTACACCCCCATTGTAGATATCACTAATCAATCTTCACACCAATCTCAATTCATCTTTCATTTGTTCTCTCTCGGCACCCACGTGCCCATGCTTTCGCTCCCTTTTGCTCTCCTAGCTCATTTCAGTTGAACAGTTAAAACAGTTCAGAGGTGGGAACTTCCAGCCTCCGCTGGCAAAGACTAAAAATAATGTCTCAGGTGTCTGGTTTGCTTTTGACTGTTCAAAGACCTTTTTCATCTATTCTTGTTCTATTCTCTGGACCAAGCCAGGGAGCCAGCAACAGAAGGCTGTGGAGTTAAAAAGCAACTCCTGACCGTCAAGCTCCTGGACCCCAGCCTCTTTCTCCATACAAGCCTACTTACCCTGTTCCGCAACCACAAGAAGCAGCATTGGGAACATCAGGAGGCCTGTGGCCCAGGCAGAAGTGACCCCCATCCTGGACCTGGAAAAAGAGAGGGCAGGAGGAGAGGAGAGGAAGGCTAAGTAACAGCAAGATCTGTTCAGCTTCTTGGAATGGGAATCCAGGGCTCAGAGAGGCCAGGAAGTAATTCAAGGTCACACAGCAAACAAGCAAGGGCTGAGCTATAATTCAAACCCAGGACCAGCTGATTTCAGAATCTGAGCAGTGATGCCTCATGGTCAAAAGCATGGAGCAAGTCTGTCTGGGGAGTTTGTCTTTCTGCATTTTCCTTGCTGTGTCACCTTGGGAAAGTAGCTTAACTTCTCTGTGTTCTGTTTCTTCATGGGTCAAATGGGGATAATATGGTTGGAAGGAAGAGATGAGTCAATGCATTTTAAAATGCTTTTTAAGCTTCCTGATATGAAGGAATATATTTCAGTGCTGTTACGATTATTGACCTTCCCACAGCCCAGATTGGGATCCTATTTTTCAGGTTGGCTTCCTCCTTCAGACTGAGGGCCTCCTGGAGAGAAGCAGCCAGCCCAGTTACCCCTGAGTCCCCAGTATTTAAGTATGGTCGCCCTTGACACGATTCTCAGCTTCAATTCCAGGATTTGGTTGTCACCAAGATTCTATTCTTAGTTTCTGGGATTCCTGAGGAACTGCCAGCTCCTTGCCGGAAAAGGGGGCTTTGCCCCGGCCCACCTGCCACCCTCTCTATTTGCTATCTGGTGAGGGTGTCTCTACAGCCCACAGAGAAACCTCAGTAGTGGGAATAGCCATATAGAGGGGTGGTGGCCCATGGACATCTGGTGGATAATTATTGAGTACCTGCTGTATGCAAACCCCACCCCAAGCACGGAGGACCTCCCAGCCTTCATATTCTGTTAAGACCTGGGATATTGGGCAAGTGATCCCTCCCCAAAGGCCCCCTACCCTCCAGACTCCCCCTCACAGGACCAGGCTCAGGAGAGGCAGCAGATGGGAAGTGAGAACATCATGTGCAAGCTCAGCCCTTGTACACACACAGTCTCATTTTAAAAATTAGCACTAAGGAGAGGTGGGATGGAGTCTCAGAATGGGAGCTGTTGAGGATAGCAGACTCAGTCCAGTTCCCAGAGGCCAGGACCAGGATGCCATCAGGGACCTGTCCGCGGTGCTGAACCTTCAGACAGCACTGCAGCATCACAGCCCATCTGATCTCTGCTCAGTCCCCATAACCACATACCTGTTGTTTGTTGTTGTTGTTATGTGCCGTCGAGTCGCCTGCGACTCATAGCGACCCTATGTACAACAGCCCTAGGGGCACATAAAAGGCTAGTGGCTTGCCAAGGGTGACAGACCAGGGAAACCACAGACACCAGGCCCAGGACTGGTGCTCCCCAATGTGAAATCAGAAACTTTGTCAGCTTCTGGCACCATTCCAGTCTGTCCTTAGTTCTCCCCCGGAGACCCCAAGCATATAGGAGCCCTTGATGCATAGTCACATCTGATGAGACATTAAGGGATAGGGATGAGGATGGGGCAGAATCCAGGGCTGTGACTACCTCAGGAATGACAAGGTCAGGGACTTGACATCACACTGTGCACACACAGATGTGCACATGGTCACAACTCTCATACACTGACAGATCCATACTCAGATTCACGTGTACACACATTCATATACACATGCACACGGACTCGCATGAATGTCACACGTACCACAAATTCAGACACATAAACACACACTCATACTTCAACACCATGCATACTGGGTGACCTTAGACAAACTGCTTCTTTGCTCTATGCATCAACATCTCCATCTGTAAAATGGGGATATTCACCTAATAGCATTCTCTTGGAGATTAAATGATTAAATAAGTAATATCTTTGATACCTTCACCTTGAACAGCAGCTTCCTATACACAGTGCTTCATGCACATGCTCAAATATACTGCTCAGTGACAAATACAGAATCTTCGGGACACGCCCCCTTCTCCACACCCAAGCACTCGATCCCCCCTCCAATGCTTACCCTCACTAACCCCTACCTCTTCTCTCAAAATGCCTCCTCCCAGGGCTGCTAGAGGTGAGCGTTTACACAGCTGCCTAGAGCTCGTCCCCCTCATGAATAATGTACGTATCTCATGCATATGTAAGTAGAGCTGCGAAGTGGGGCGAGGGGTGCTGGAGGAGGGGCTGCCCGAGATGAGGGTGGGGGTGTGGCTCACACCTACTACTGTCTGGGTGGATTTGGCAGTGGCTGTTTTTGTGTTTGTGGCTGACTGTGCTTCTGGAGTGTATGTGAGGTCACACCTCAAGGCTTGGGAATATATACATGCAGTCACAGCGGCAGTGGGGGAGGAGAGTTCCCTGTCAGTGGGCACAGGGATAACTGTGGTCTCGCTGCTTGTGTAAGTCTGAAAGTCCACTGGCAAGGGCTGGGCACACGTGTGTGTCCTGGCCAGTGAGTCTGCGTGTATTGTGTGCCTAGATGTGAAGATGGACAACTCAGAAGAGAAAGAAAGCAGAGTCAGCAAATCACATCAGGGGTCCCTTTCAGGGGTCCCTTGCTAACTCCCCAATTTTACACATAGGACACATCTCACACCCAAGGGTCACAGTGCAAATCCACAAAGAGGAGCCTTGCTGTATATATACAAGGACACATATCCATACGGTAGAGACTCAGGAGACACAGAGATTCACACGGACATCAACAAAGAGACAATACAGGAACTCACAGGCTTATCTTCTGCACAAAGACGCATGCCCACAGGCTCACACCCCCTAAGTAAGCCCCTCATCAGCCTTGCACAATCAGGCACTGCTCCTTACAGACATGTGCAAATGCATGTACAATAGTACCAGTCCCTGGCACAGCCTGACTGGAGAAAGGTGGCCTTGGTGGCTGGTGGTCACACAACCATTGTGCCACCTGGTGACAAGGACCCAGTACAAGTTTCCGGACAAAGACAAAACCTCAGTCCCATCAACTCGTGGAGGACACCAGACCGCCTAATCACAGGCACCAGACCACCTCATCAGGCAGACACATCCACCTCCAAGGAGGGTTCATTTGATTTGGGGATGACCACGAGCCAGTGAAAGTGCTGGGATTCCAGGGTCCCAAGACTCACAGACCTCCCACAGCTTCCCATTCCGCTCCTAGCTTCTTCCTCCATCTCGCTCCCTGCTGGGGCCAGTGCCAGCCCATTGATGCTGCTGAGAGGAACAAAGCCCCACGCACAGGGGCTGGGGACTGCTCCTGCCCTGACGAGGGTGGTCCTGCACTGGGTACCCAGTCCCATCTTCCTGAGCCCATGGCCCCATACCAACCAAGAAAGGGCTTCTGCACCCATCTACACAGACAGATGGAATGAAGGGGTGAGGCAAGGGACTGTGTCACGCTGTGAACACATGGGTAAGTGAGGAGGTGATAGGTGGCCCCCTCTCTGGGCTGAATAGCCCTGGCAGCATTTGGGGCATTTGGAGCTGGTCCCCCACCCAGTACATATCTGGGAAGATCTCTTTTCTAGGGGAGAGGGCAACACCCAAACTCCAGGTCTGAGGGAACAACAGGAAGCTCCTGGGGTATAATAGGGTCCCCTAGAACCTCGTCCTGAGTCAGGACGTGGTAACTAGAACCCGCCTGAAAGGGAGACTAGGAGACACCCCTTCCCCAAGACCGAGTCTCATTAATTCTCAGCACAGACCCTCTTTATCCTTCTCAGAATGATCTTGGGGCCCCTGCCCACTGAGTCCTATCTGAGATCCTCTATTCAGCCTCAAATTGGGAATACCCACTTAAAATCTTGGGGTACTTCAGCTCAGCCACGGGGTGCCCCATTATGAAGTCCCTCACACCCACCATCTGGCTATCCCCTGCTTCTCTCAAAACTCGGGGTGCCCCTCCCCCAGCGCCTCCTCCTCCAAAGCAGAGATCCACCCCCAGTCTGCCTCCCTCTCTATCCTGGGGTCATTTCTGCATTCTCCGGACACTCTCCTTCCAAATCCTTGTCTCCCTCCATGACATTCCGAAGCCCACTCCTAGTTTGCTTTCCCTCCCCAGCCGGGGCTCCCCTCCCCCACCAGCCCCTTCCCCACTCTGGGAGCTTCTCCCTGAATCCAGGCGCCTTCCCCAGTTTCCCAGCGCGGTTTCCAATTCCGAGATCCCCTCCCCCAGTCGGACCCCCACCTGGCTCCTAGCTCGGACGCATCCCTGGGACTGCCGCCCGGCACAAAGGACGCTCGGGCTCGGCTCGCTCGGCGCGGGGTCCAGCCCTGCGCCCTGCGCTCCGCTCGCCCCAGCGCCGCCTCAACGGCTTATAAAGGGGCTGCGGGGCTGCGCTGCGCATGCGCCCCCCGCAAGCCCGAGGCTGCTGGCAGCGCGAGGCAGGGGGCTCCGGTTCCTAAACCCCCCACCCCTTCCACCACTCACCCAGCCCACGGAGAGGCAGCGCTCGTTTCCCCATTCAGCCTGTGCCAAGAGCATCATTCTATGTCCCAAGCGGGCTCTTGGGTGGAGCCAGCTCCATTTCACAGGTGGGGAAACTGAGCCTCAGAGAAGCAGAACAGCTTCTCAAGGTCATCCACAGGGAAAGCGCAAAACTGAGATTAGAGCCTCAATTTGCCCGCTACTCAAGAGCTCACACTCCAAGGATTTTGGACCATTTATACCCTGGGACGAGTGTCTGAATCAAGCAAACAGTGGACACGTGAGGTTGCAAATTGAACTGTTGAAGGTTTGAGTCCACCCAGAGGCGCCTCAGAAACACCTTCTGATTCACTTCTGAAAAAATCAGCCATTGGAAACCCAAGCACGGTTCTACTCTGACATATGTGGAGCCAAACAGTAGTGAGTTGGGTGTTCACTTGAGGGCAACTGGTTTACCGGTACGGTCAAGGAAAGAGAGGTTCTGAGAAAGTAGGGACCCTCCTGGCCACTCAGCTGGTAAGAGACGTGTAGAGGTTGGGTTTGAGTATGGCCGCCACACGCCAGAGTTCGTTCCATCACCTCATTCATCTTTTCCATCCAGTCAGCCTTCCCTTTACGAGCATCTGCTGGATGCCAGTCCTGTTGCCGGACTAAGAATGTTCGTGGTTTAAAAAAAATGCTCATGGTTTGGGCAGGGGTCATATACGTATTCTGAAGGGGAAGGCCCTTATCTGGAGAAGCTGAAAACTGGGAACCAACTCATAGCTGACTCGCCAGCAGGTTTTCAGAGGCAGTAAATCACAAGGGAGGAGATTGCTCATGGAGCGGTCAGTGGATTTGAACTGCATGCCTTTGGGGATGGCAGCCCAACAACTCCTCCGCCACCATTGCAGTCTTGGAATATTATTCAGCTCTTTAAAAGGATGAAATTTATCAGGGGCAGGAAGGAGTAGAAAAAGGGGAAACTACTAGTTAGAAGGCAACAAATTTTTGTTGAGAGGGATGGAAAACATGGCAAAAGCACTTTGCAAATGATTGCACTGCATGGCTAATGTAATTGATCTCATGGAACTGTATACATGGAAAACGCTGAACTGGCAAATGTACTAAAACTTGTATTTTTTACAATAGGGGGAAAGGCATTGAAGCACTGATAACATGTTGCAAAGTGGGTGAACCTCGAAAACATTGCTCTCAGTGAGAGAAGCCACACACAAAGGTGTGTACTGAATGATTCTATTTCTGTGAAATGCCTCCCTTCCTCCAAAAAAAATCCATAGAACACAAAAGCCACTACTATCAAGTGAATTCTGCTTCACAATATCCCTTTAGGACAGAAAACTGCCCCAAGACTCTGAATTTTGGCAGAAGCAGACTGCCACATCTTTGTAACATGGGATGGCTGGTGAGTTCATACTGCAGACCTATTGGCAGTCAAGCTCTAACCACTGCAGTCTCAGGACCACTGGCCTCTGAGAAAACCTGCTAGTTGGTTCCATGTTGACTGCATTTAAAAACAACAACATGAAATATTCAGGGAACAACTCATAACAACCTATGTACAGCAGCTTTGAAGCCTGCCCTGTCCTGAGCCAGTCTCACTGACTCTGACACACCTACACACATCACCTCAGTTACTATATCAATCCATCTCATCCGGGGTCTTCCTCTCCTGTGCTGTCCCTTCACCCTTCTGAAAATGTCTTTCTCCAAGGACCACTCCCTCCTGGTCACATGCCCAAAGTATGTGAGATGGAGCTTCAAAATCTTAGCTTCCAAGGAGAAACTTGGTTTCACTCTCTCCAAGACAGATTTCCTATTTGTTTTCTTGGCAGTCCATGGTATGTTCAAGATCTTTCCAGCATCACAACTCGAAGGCATCAATTCTTCTTCTGTCATTCTTAGTCATTGTCTAGCTCTCTGATGCGTAGCAAGTAATTGCGAAGACATAGACTTCATCAGACGCACCTTAGTCTTTAGACTGACATCGTTGCTTCTCAGTACTCTGGAGAGGTCCCTGACAGCAGATTTTCCTAACACAATTCGTCTTTTGATTTCTTGACTGCCGGTGCCAAGATTGTTGATTGTGGAACTGAGCAAGCTGTAATTGTTAACAACCTCAATCTCTTCTCCATCTATCATGGTGCTGCCAATTGGCTTCAATCCATATTGAAGACTATAGTCCTTGATCTTCTGCAGCAAGTGCTTCAGGTCCTCTTCAGTTTCAGCAAGCAAGGTTGTATTAACTGCATAACGTAGGTTGTTGATTAGTCTTCCTCCAATCCTGATCCCACATTCCTCCTCATAAAGTCTAGCCCCCCCAGATGATCTGTTCTGCATATAGATTGAAAAGGCATGGAGACAGGATGCACCTGTGATGCACCCCTTTTCTGATTTTGAACCATGCAGTGTTTTCTTGCTCTGTTTTAATAACTGCTTTCTGGTCCAAGTGTAGATATCACATAAGCACAATCAAGTGTTCTGGGATTTCCTTTCTCCTCCAGGTTAAACACAATTTGTTATGATCCACACAGTCAAATGCCTTTGCATTGTCAATGAAACACAGATATGCATTTCTGGTAATTTTTGCTTGGCTCCAAGATCCATCTGACACTAGTGATAATGTCTGTAGTACCACGACCTCTTCTAAATCCAAAGGTGGTGTTGTTATGTGCCGTCGAGTCGCTTGCGACTCATAGTGATCCTATGTACAACAGCCCTAAACTCTGCTCTGTCTTGTGCCAATCACACTGTCTTTGACACTCCCATCCTGATAACCCCAGTCACCAAATCAATCCACCTCATAGAGGGCCTTCCCCTCCTTTGCTGTCCCTCCACCCTCCCCAGCATGATGTCCTTCTCCAAGGACCGGTCTCTTCTTACAATATGTCCAAAGTATGTTAGACGGAGTCTCAGAATCCTTGCCTCCAAAGAGCCACCCAGTTTAACCCTTTTCAGGATGAATCTGTTTGTTTTCCTAGGAGTCCATGGTACTCTCAATACTTTTCTCCAGCACCACAGCTCAAAGGCATCAATTCTCCTTCTGTCCTCCTTGGTCATTGTCCAACTAACTCTCTGATGCATAACAAGTGATTGCAAAGGCCATGGCCTGTATCAGACGCACCTTAGTCTCCAGAGAGACACCATTGCTCTTCAGTACTTTGGAGAGGTCCCTAACAGCAGACTTTCCCATGGCAATGCGCCTTTTAATTTCCTGGCTACTGGTGCCAAGAGTGTTGACTGTGGAGCCAAGCAAACTAAAGCTGTGAACAATCTCAATCTCTTCACCATCCATCCTAATGCTTCCAATTGGCCCAGTGGTGAGAATCTTTGTCTTCTTGACATTGAGCCTCAATCCATATTGGAAGCTACAGTCCTTGACCCTCTGCAGCAGGTGCTTCAGGTCCTCCTCAGTTTCAGCAAGCAGAGTTGTGTCATCTGCCTAAGGCAGATTGCTGATAGATTGTCCACCAATCTTGACCCCACATTTCTCCTCATAGAGCCCAGCCTTCAGGATAATCTGTTCTGCATACAGGTTGAAAAGGTATGGAGATAGGACGCATCCCTGGCGTACGCCCTTCCGAATTTTGAACCATGCAGTGTTCCCTTGCTCTGTTCTGATGACTGCCTCCTGGCCCAAGTATAGGTTTTGCATTAGAATGATTAAGTGTTCTGAGATTCCCATTCTTCTCAGAGTCGGCCACAGTTTGTTATGATCTACACAGTCAAATGCCTTTGCATAGTCAGTGAAACACAGACATTCCTCTGGTATTCCCTGCTTTCAGCTAAGATCCATCTAACAGCTACAATATCCCTAGTACCACGACCCCTTCTAAACCCAGCCTGGACCTCTGGCAGTTCTCTGCTGATGTGCTGTTCCCGTCGTTTTTTATAATCTTCAGTAGAATCTTGCTGGGTGATTAAAAAATCCACCAGTGGCTCCATGAAAGAAAGATGGAAAATCTCCCACGTTTATGTTGTTTATGTGGTTTATATTGTCAGATTTTGTCAAGTTGAGTATGACTCATTGTGACCCCATGAACAGCAGAACTGAACCCTGTTTTATCCTCTGTCGTTTTCATTATCTCTGACACACTTGAGCCCATTGCTGCAGTCACCATGTTGATACATCTCATTGAGGGTCTTTCTCTTTGTCACTAACTCTCTACCTTTCCAAGCAAAAGTCTTCTAGCAACATGCATGACAGCAAAGTATGAGAGATAAGGCTTTGCCCTCCTTGCCTGCAGGAGGCTGTGGTTTTCCCAAGACAAACTAGTGTTTTTCTGAAAAACTTCTGGAGATCAGCTGGGAGTAGTTTCTGACTCGGTGGCACACAACAACAACAAAAACAAATAAGAAGAAGAACCGGCAAATCTATAGAAAGAGACAGTGGAGTAGAAGAAGTGGAACTTCTTTTAGTGGTGATGATAATGTTCTAGAATGTGACAGAGATGATGGTTGCACAATATTAGGAATGCCACTAAATGATACTGAAATATGCACTTTACAATCATCAAAATGATGGATTTTGATGTTACATAAATTTTATTGCAGTATAAGAAAACGTGGACTTAGTCCTCAGTTTGAGGACTAAGGTGCATCTGATTCAGGCTATAATCTTTCCAATTACTTCTGAGAGATGGACGATGAATAAGGATGACAGAAGAAAAATTGATACCTTTGAGCTGTAAGTGTTGGAGAAGAGCACTGAACATCCCATGGATGGCCAAGAGAACAAACACATGTGTCTTGGAGAGGGTGCAGCCCAAGTGCTCTTTGGAGGTAAGAATGATGAGGAGTCCCCTTATGTACTTTGGGCATATTGCTAGGAGACGCTATTCCTTGGAGAAGGGCATGATGATGGTGGAAGGTCGGTGAAGAAAAGGAATACCGTCAACCATGTGGATTGACACAGTGACTGCCGCAATGTGCTCTTGTGTGTCAGGAAGTGTGAAGATGGCACAGGACAGAACAGGGTTCAGAACTTTTGTCCATAGGATTCCTATGACTCATAATCAAGTCGACAGCACCTAACAA